TCTGGGATTAGGGTAGGGGAGTGAGTGAGTGAAAGTCGCTCAGTTGTGTTCAACTCTTTGCGACCCTGTGGACTATACAGTACATGGAATTCTCTAGGCCAGAATACTGGAGTGGGTTGCCTCTCTCTTCTCCAGGGGAGATCCCTGGTTGGGGAGATCCCCAATCCAGGGATCGAACCAGGGTCTCCCGCATTGTGGATGGATTCTTTACCAGGTGAGCCACAAGGGAATCCCAAGAATACTGGCGTGGGTAGCCTACCCCTTCTCCAGTGGATCTTCTTGACCCAGGAATCGAACCAGGGTCTCCTGCATCACAGGTGGATTCTTTACCAATTGAGCTATAAGGGTAGGGGAAAGTTGATTTGAAAAGTTTGAGGAAGGTGCATGTGCTGCTGGTGAGGGAAAAATATTTAAAAGAGCCACACCCATTTTCACAAAGCATGTAATAAAGGGTGAATTTTGAAATGGTAGGCAATAAACTGACGGGGTCACACTATATTTTAAGATGTATTAAAAAAAAAGATGTATTATATGAAGGGTCTAAATTTGCTATATATACTGTTACAACAAAGAAATGAGCTTAAAAGTAATGTTCATGTTTTATTTGTCATCCTTTAAGTGTTAGTTGCTCAGTCATGTCTGATTCTTTGTGATCTCATGGACAATAGCCCATCAGGCTCCTCTGTTCATGGGATTCTCCAGACAAGAATATTGGAGTGGGCTGCCGTGTTTAAGCTTTGGATAAGGAAAGGAATTTTAACGAATCTTTTTGATATGAGTATTATGAAAACATTCTTTTTCTATGTATCCAGGATATATAAAGACTTCTTATAACTTGATAAAAGAAAACTAATAGTACAGTTTCAGATCCATTTCGCTTTTCAGACCAGTGAAAGCAAACTCTATAAGGGCACGTTTCTTTGACTTCTCTGGTTATTTGCATTTCTATCTCTGCACAATGAACAATGCAAAAGGTCTTCTAGCTTTTCCCCCACAAAGAGTGATAGCTAATAATTGAGAGCTCTTAAGTTTATACATTCCTTGGGATTTTTCAATTATAAATTTTTACATAATTTGAGAGTTACCTAATATTTTGATTTTTGCATTTTTCACTTTTGGCTTTGAATACAGTAGAGAGCTAAATGCTATTATTGAGTCATGTTACCTATTAAGATATCTGGACTGTTTCAGTCAGAGTAAACCAAAATATTCTGGGTGGCAGACAATTCCAAATTGCAATGGCTTAATGTAACAATAGTTTATATCTCTAAATATCTACATGCAAAAAGATGAATACAGGCCTATATCTCACAGTGTACACAAAAATTAACTCAAATGGATCATAGACTTAAATGTAAGAACTAAACCTATAAAATTTTCAGAAGAAAACATAATAGAAAATCTTCGTGATCTTGGGTCAGGCAAAGAGTTCTTAGAAATAACATTGAAAGCATACGGCATGGAATATTACTCATCCATAAAAAGGAATGCATCTGACTCAGTTTTAATGAGGTGGATGAACCCAGAGCCTATTATACAGAGTGAAGTAAGTTAGAAAGGGAAAGATAAATATCATATACTATGCATATATATGGAATCCAGAAAGATAGTACTAACGAAATTTTCTGCAGGGCAGCAATAGAGACACAAACAGAGAACAGACTTACGGACATGGGGGCGGGGAGGAGGAAGGAAAGGGTGAGATGTATGGGGATAATAACATGGAAACTTATATTACTGTGCATAAAACAGATAACCAATGGGAATTTGCTGTATGACTCAGGGAACGCAAACAGAGGCTCTGTAGCAACCTAGAGGGGTGGGGTGGGGAGGAAGACGGGAGGGAGTTTCAAGATTGGGGGACATATGGATACCTATGGCTGATTTATGTTGATGTTTGGCAGAAACCAACAAAATTCTGTAAAGCAATTATCCTTCAACTAAAAAAGTAAATAAAAATTTTAAAGAAAGCATATGGCATTGAAAAAAGGTACACTGGATTTCATCAAAATTAAGAAACTTTAGTGCTTCAAAAGATACCACTAAGAAAATGAAAAGACAAACCATAGACTGGGAAAAAATATTTGCTAATCATGTATCTGACAAAGGATTTGTATCCAGGATATATATAGACTTCTTATAACTTGAAAAAAGACAAACAATACAGTTAAAAAGTGGGTAAAAGATTTGAATATATGCTTCACCAAAAAAGATGTAGGAAAGGCTAATCAATGTATGACAAAAACCACTGCAATGATGTAAAGTAATTAGCCTCCAACTAATAAAAATAAATGAAAAAAAAAGAAAAAAAAAAAAAGAACATGAAAAGATGCTCAACATTACTAGCCATTAGGGAAAATCAGATTGAAATCATTATGAGGAACTACTTCATTCCCACTGAAAGAGTAAAATAAAAAAGATAAACAATAACAAATACTGGTGAGGATGTGAAGAAATCAGAACCCGCCCACACACTTTTCCTGCTCACATTTTGGAAAACAGTTTGGCAGTATCTTAAAAGGTTTAATATAAACTGACTATACAATGCAGCAATTCCACTTGTAGGAATCTATCAAAGGAAAACAAAAACAAGTATCTACACAAGAGTTGTACACAAACATTCATAGCAGATTATTCATAGTAGCCCCAAACTGGTGAATGGATAACAAAATAGAATACATTCATACAGTGGCGTACTATTCAACAATAGAAAGGAAAGAACTAGGGACACATGGTACAATGTGGATGAATCTCAAAACATTGGGCTGAGTGAGAGGTGAGACCAAAAGACTACACATTGTATCAGTCCATTTATACCAAATGGTCAGAAAAGGCAAATCTACAGCAATAGATAACAGATTGCCTGGGGTTAGGAGTTGGAATAAGGATTGATTATAAATGGACATAATGGATTTTTTTAGGGTGGTCAAAATCTTCTAAAACTGGACTGTGGTGATGGTTGCACAATGTTAGTCTCTGCTCTTTTCATTTAGGGACCCAAAATGAAAGATATTCCATCACAATACATGCTTCCAGGATCACCACAGCAAGCAGGAGGGGATGTGCAACTGCCTCTTAAAGATTTTCCTAGAAAGTGATTGATTTTCTCTCCCATTTTATTGATGAAAATGAGTTACACAGCCATACCTAACTCTAGGTGCAATAAAATGCAATTTTACTTTGTGTCTGGAAGAAAGGAGAACCAGAATTTTTGTCAGCAACCCGTATGACCATCAGAGAAATACATAGCAATAAAGAGTACAGTTTACTCTGACTGGAGTTGTTTTGCTTTGTACTTCTGAGAGGTTCCACATTTGTTTCTTCTTAAGGTTCTAATCCATGGCACATTGCTTGCTTAGCAGCAGTTTCTGAGACCACAGTTCCAGAAATTCTTTGCATTTTACTGTGACTCCCTCACTGCCCTCGATTCCCTGAGCACCTGGCTTCCTAAAATGAAATGATTGCACTTTTGTACTCATATGTTTACATCGGGAAAAAGCAAACTTTTTTTTCCCCAAAAAGACAGGCATCGTTGACTTCTCTAATGTATAAAAGATCAGAACTGTGGCTAAAGAAGCTAAAAGTTAGACCAATAAGTGGAAATTATAGGAAGGCAGATTGTACATTTATAAAAGGACGGACTTTCTAATTATTAGCGTTTGTGAAAACGAAATGACTGCCTCCGAGGTACTGAACCACTAAAGATGTTGAAGCTGAGGCTTGATGACCACTTGAGAGAATTGTTGAGGGGAATTTAGACCAAATGTTTTCTAAAACTGATGTTCTGTGATTAGGCTTAGCTGCACAGCAAGTATACCTTAAAAAAAAAAAAAAAAAGTTAAACCCTATTCAACCAAAAGTGTGAAGGGGATTGAAGGCAAATTTATGAGAAAATAGGTTATCATAAAGGTAGGAGATAGATTGAGGCTGTCTTCTTAGACGGGAAAACATGGTACTAATTATCCCTGTGAAGTAATGAGACAAAAATTAAAAATTATTTTTTAAGTATTTTGACAGTTATAAACAAAGGTACCACATATGGCTATTAAGAGGAGTTGGGTTTTATCTAAGTATAAGTCACAGAGACAATCATTCATTCTGTCACTTGGGACATCTGCAGCAGAATATTCCTAGGCTAAGGGTCTGCTCTAGTAGAAAAAAGTTTTATATTCCCAAAATAAACCACTTAGGACGGAATTATTCTCAGATTCCATCACAATTAGTAAGGATCTGCAAAGCAGATAAGCAGAGAAACGTTTCATCGTCAGGGGAAAAAGTGTGAAAATCTCCTGATAGGAACGAATTTTGAGCTGGACAATAATCGCGGAACAAAATGTGATTCTGACGTCCCAGGCCTCTTTCCCGCTGAATGAAATTCCAATAGGCCTCAGGATGAAGGTAAGAGATTTTTCTCCATAGAAAGAAAATTGGCAGGGCAAGACGTAAGGGATACCGTGCCATTTGTCAGGAACAGAACATGCAATGTAAAAGTTGAACACAAGCTTTCCTCTGTAACAGAAACTGCCGCAGGACCGCCGGTAGACCAGAGAACACCGTTCACTATTGTGTTAACGCCGGCGGCGGAAGGACTTAGTCCACCACAAAGTCAAAGAGTCCTTCTTTGTTCAGCTCTAGCCGCGGACGCAGAGCGCGGTGTTCTTCCGCGCTCGCCCCGCAGTCCCCGCCCCCTCGCGGATCTGGAGAGCTGCCATTCGGCACCGGAGGCGCTCCGCTCTCCCAGAATGCACCGGCAGTCCGCGGGAAACCAAAATGGCGAAGGGTTGTAGCGAAGTGGTCTGTGTTTGAGGCCGGTGTAAGAACGCTCACTCTACCCCTCCCCAACCCTCGTCCCCAGGACCTCGGTTTGTGCGTGTGTATGTGCGGGGTGCCCGGTGGGGCGGGTGCCTAGTAAGTGCTCGGATTCGCAAGGGAAGCGCCCACGGGGTCGTGATTGGCTGTTTTTTCCTGTATGAAGCGGTTGGCACCACTGAAGTGACCGAATGAGGTGAGAGACCTTGGCCTGGGAACCAGGCTCTTCCGGAGGAGGTGGAGGGGGTGGGGAGGAGGAAGAAAGGAAGCAAAAGGGAAAGATGGAGGCTCAAGGTGGGGGTGGGGGCTCCAGTATGTGTACGGGGGTGCCTTGAAAAGAATGGATGGAAAGGAGTAGTCAGTTGGGTATTGGAGAAAATAGGGACTAAAGGAGCGAGCAGGGTATTGGGGGAAGTCGGTTGGAGGAACAAGATGAAACGTTGAGACGGGGAAGCTGTGTTTGGAGGGGCAGGAAGGAACCTGGGGGCGGGAGACGGTTGGAGGGGCAGGATGAACCTGGTGATGAGGGGGTGGGGAACCAAGGGGAGGAGCCGTTAGGAAATGGGGACTGTGGGAGACGTGGGGACCAGAGTGAAGGGGTGGTCTGCGACCTTAGAGGGCGCAAAGGGAGGTAGCCGCTTGAAACCGGAGGGTGGTGAAATTGTATGGAATTGGAGTCTGGGGATAGAGTAGAAGAGCAGGATGGAGTGTGAGGTTAAGGGGAACACTAAGTAGAGCCTGAGAGCAAACCCTGCAAACTTAAAAGGGAAGAAGTGGAAGGAAAAGTGTGAGATGGGCGAGAGGTACCTTATATTCGGAGCCCACCAATAATCTGAGGCAGTTCTTCTGTTTAATTAAATCTAACTCTTAATGCCTACTCGGATGTAGATTTGTATTATTGTATTCACTTTACAACTGAGGTAATTATGGCTTAAGAGATTTTAAATAATTTGCCAAGATTTCTTAACATGTTTTAGTAGTGCCAGGACTCTTTACTGTGTGTTTTACAATCTGGCGTCCTTGGTTGTTAGAATTTTTCTTTGGAAGCAACTAGAGGGAACAGATGAGATGTATTTATTGGGGTGTTTTGACAAGCTGTAAGGGTTCGTGAACAATGGGAAAAGGGGTATGAATTGCTATTCTATTCTTTAAAACATTTAACTTTGGTTGAAGATAGAATCCATTTACTAATTCAAATATATAAACCTAGGTAGGCCTGTGTATAGCGTAAGAAAGCACCATGTGAGGTCACTATAGAACTAGAAATATGTATATAGTGCCTGGTTTGACTCCAGATGCTTCGGCAGTAGTAACTTTCTCATTCAGATTGATTCCAGGTGACCCTTCTCTACACCTTCAGTGTAGGCTGGTTTCAGTTTCCATGTTTTCATTCTTGAGAATTTCTTTCTTTGGCAATGGATTGCAAAGACAGTGCATTTAGAAGTATTTAGTGTGGATAAAATAAAGTGTACGTCAGTTATTGAGTGATCTTTTCGGAGATTTGAAATGCTTTAAATGGAACCGTTTTGACTAAGCTTTAAGAGCCCAGTAGTTTTGGCAAGGAAAGAGCTGATTTTAAACTTCTGTTATATTTTTGAGGCTTCCCTGGGAGCTCAGCTGGTAAAGAATCCGCTTGCAATGCGGGAGCCCCCCGTTTGATCCTTTGATATTTGGAATGTTTTTCACCCTCCAAGCGTTTGTAGTGATAACTTGGGAAGGGACTATGAGGTGAAGCTTTTTGTTTTTGTTTTTTTTTAGGTTTCTAAATATAAAAATCTATTTGAGTTGACATTTTAAAATTGTTCACCTCCATTTTTTTAAGTGCTAAAAATATTTTAAAATATTTGAATTAAGAGTGCACCTGTTTCCTGATACTGCACATTCATGTCAGTGGACATTAACAAAATCTACACCTACCGGGAAGAAGCGTACTCACAGTTTTTGAAGTATAGAAATCATCTGGCCAAACATTATATCTAGATGAAACAAAGTTTATTTAATTATGCTTTTAATTATGCCTGTTACCTCAGAACTCAATTAGGAAATTAATTTTATTCTGTATATTTTGCTATGGGTCATAAACTCTTTGATGTCATGGATTATAAATAGACCTTTTCATTAGATCTTTGACTGAAAGGATACTTTGCTTTATATTTCAGCATAATCTTTACATCTGACTTTAGGAAACTGGCAGTATAGTGATAATCTAGTTTAACAGATGGGGAAATTTGCCTCTGAGCAGTTGCCAAGGCCAACATCTATAGCTTGGTCATTCTGAAAGTAAAATTTAACTGTAGCTTTATTTAGTCTAAACTTCCATGAATGATATTTCTTTGTTGATATATTATGCTTTGTTTTCCCTGTTCTTCAAGATTTGTTTCGTGTGTGTGTGTGTGTGTGTGTGTGTGTGTGTGTGTGTGTGTGGGTGTTAAGTTGTTTCAGTCCTGTCTGAATCTTTGCGACCATGTGGACTGGAGCCTGCCGGGCTCCTCTGTCCATGGGATTCTCCAGGCAAGAACTCGGGAGTGAGCTGCTGTGTTCTCTTCTGGGGCTCTTCCTGACCCAGGGATCTGACCCGAGTCTTTTACATCTTCTGCATTGGCAGGCGGGTTCTTTACCACTAGTGCCACCTGGGAAGCCCAAAATACAGCATAACAACCCTAAATTGGACTATGATAGTTTCTCTGTGGATGTTTTTTAATGTGTTTCAGTAGTGCTCTCCAGTGGAACTTTCTGCAGTGATGGCAGCTGTCTATATCTGCTGTATCCAGTATGGTAGCCATAGGCCCATGTGGTGTTGAACACTAGAAATGTAACTGGTGAGGCTGATAATTGAATTTATAATTTAATATACTTCATTTAAACTAAAATTAAAGTGGCCATATGTGACTGCTGTATGGGACAGCACAGTATTATTGTATCTGTTTATTAGGAATTGTCACACCCATTAACCATGGAAACCACAGGAACCCAAGGGTAAGGAACTACTTTGAACTGAGGGGATTCACATTCTCTTTGTACCTTTTTAAGGTGAAGTAATCTTCACTTTGCATACACCATGTCTTCTGTCATTTATCTGTTTTCACATAACATTGCAAAAGAACAATGAAGGTAGCAATGTATCTTGTTTTTTTTAAGTACAAGATTCTTTTGTCAAAAACAACAGAAATGGATTTTAGGAAAATTAGTTTACTTTGCTATTTAAAATAATTTGTTATTTTTACACATAAAATTTCAAACACATAAAGTGAACAGAAGTATAATGAGCTTTTTGATAGAAAATTTGTACATATTGAAATGCAGATATTAACTCTACACTTTAATAGCTTGAGATATAATGCATGTTTTATATTTATTTATATGTATATATATATATACACACACACACACACACACACACACCTGGAAGCTTCCCAGGTTGGGTAGCGGTAGAAAACATGCTTGCTCATGTAGGAGACATAAGAGACGTGGGTTCATCCCTGGGTTGGGAAGATTACTTGGAGGAGGGCATGGCAACAAGAATCCATGGGATTCTCCACCCCATGGACAGAGAAACCTGGCGGGCTACAGTCTATAGAATTGCAAAGAGTCAGACGCGCCTGAAGTGTCTTAGTGGGCAGGCACTCAGTCATAAGGGAGAGGCAGCATTTTGGGCTTCTCTGGTGGCTCAGTGGTAAAAAGTCCACCTGCAGTGCAGGAACCTCAGGAGATGTGGGTTTGATACTTGGGTTGGAAAGATCCCCTGGAGGGAGAAAAGGCAACCCACTTCAGTATTCTTGCCTGGTAAATCCCATGGACAGAGGAGCTTGGGGGGCTAGGTCCACGGGGTTGCAAAGAGTTGGACACGACTGAAGTGACTTAGCATGCACGATACATAATTCACATGTATGTACCCTTTTAACTTACAATTCAGTGATTTTTAGTATATTCAGAGTTGTGTAGCCGTCACCATTATCTAATTTCAGAACGTTTTCCTTACCCCACAATGAAAGTCTGTATTCATTAGTAGTCACTCTTTATTCTTCCCTACCCCTATCCTGGACAACCACTAATCTTTCTGTGTTTGTATTTTGCCTATCTTGAACATTTCTTTTTTTTTTTTTTTTTTTTTACATAAATTAACTCATTTATTATAGGCTAGCAACATTATCAAATGGTGGTGCTTCTACTGGTCCTTCAATTCCTTCAGTCTTCTGATGGCAGACTTTACTGTGACAGCAGAAGTGGTGTTGTAGGTCCAGGCACCACCAGCTACTGTTTTCATGCAGGAACCACAGTGCCAAATGCCCACAGCTCTTCTCTTCATCTTGGTTTTGCCACAGAAGGAGCAGGTATACTTGGCGTGCTGGCTGATTTCAATTTTCTTCACCATTTTCCTGAGGGAGGCACCATAACGGGTCCCGTATTTGCCCACGATTCCGACCTTCTTGGTGCGTTTCGCCATGTTAACGCAACCTAGATCCGAGCCCAAGAGGATCTTAAACATTTCATATGAGTGGAATCATTCATTTTTGGGGCCTTTTGCGTTTGACTACTTTTCACCTATTGTAATGTTTTCAAGGTACATCCATGTTGTAGCACTTGTAGTAAGTACTTCCTTTTTATGGTTAAAATATATTTCTTTGTATGGACATACTACAGTTTGTTTATTCATTCGTCAGTTCATTGACATTTTTTTATCCCCACTTTTTGGCTATTAATGAATAATGCTACCATACACATACATATGCAGGGTTTGTATGGACATGTACTTCCATTTCTTTTAGGTACATAGCTATGAGTGGAATTACTCGGTCAGATGATACCTCTGTGTTTAAAGTTTTGAGGAGCTGCCAAACCATTTTCCAAAGGCCCTGGACCCTTTTATATAGCGTCACCAGCAACTACAGGGGTTCCATTTTCTCCATATCCTTATACTTGTCTTTTTGATTATAACCATCCTACTGGGTGTGCAGTGGTATCTCATTGTGGTTTTGATTTGCATTACCCTGATGGCTAATGCTGTTGCATGTTTTAAACCCTGTAGTTATTTGGGTTGTGGTATATCTTATTTGAATAACTGCCTAGTCAGGTCTTTTGCCTATTTAAAAAAATTGGATTCTCTTTTTAGTGAGAGTTGTAAGCATTCTTTGTATATTTTGAATCCAAGTCCCTTATCAAATGTATGATGTTATCTCCTGTGGGTTGTTTTTTCAC